CCTGCTTCTCCCTCCTCCACTCCCCCTGCTTGTGTTCCCTCTCTCACTGTCTCTCTCTGTCAAATAAATAAATAAAATCTTTAAAAAAAAAAAAAAAAGAAGAAGGGGGGCAGGCAGCCAGACCTCCTATGGGAAGCAAGGAAGGGCCTGGAAGACCCCCCTGCCCTTGGGAAGCAAGGGGAATGTATCTGTCTGTCATGGGTGACTACAAGGCACCTGGGAAGGCCAGGGATATTGGCACTCAGGATGGGGCTCAGCGCCTGGGACTCTCTGCTTCAAAAAAAGCTGTCACAAATATTCCAAGCAATATCCTCCCACCCCAAGACCTTACTCCTTTCCTAGTAGAGACTTGGATCTCTGAGGGGGAGTTAACTCTGTGGTCTGAGAGACCAGTCTCATTCTCAGAAGGGGGCAGAAGAAAGTCAAGTTCAGATCTGAAGACTGACATGGAGACCCAGTGGGTCTCGCTGGTTTAGAGACGAGGAGCTCCTTGGGGTGCCTCAGCCAGGCCCCACCCTGCCCCTACTCATCTACTCCTGGTCACTCTCTAGATGACCTTGACCTTGAATTAACCTCATATCCTGAGGGGTGGCCTGGACAGAATTAGGAGCAAGATGGGCATTGGAAAGAGCTACAGATGAGCTCTCAACACCTGGAAGGAGCCAAAGACCCCACCCATTTTTTTGGTCTTCAGTGCCCCCTCCTCGACTGGATAAACAGGACCAGGTGGGAACAGAACACCGGGTGCAAGGGAGAGGGAAGGAGGCCTTGGCCTGAAGTCTGGGGAGGAGGCAGAGAGCGCCCTTGACACAGCCTCCTTTTCTCTCCCCATCCCCAGCCCGCTCAGCTCATGTTGCTCCCCGCAGAACTTCTTGCGGGTCACTAGTGAGCACCTAGAACTTGGGGAGGAAGCGGACAGATTAGAGGTGGGGGGCCATTAAATTCAAGTGGTGGCCTCCCCCCAACCCCTATAGCGCCAGGAGTCTGGGCTCCGCCTGCCTTCACTGGCGAATAATTTATTCATTGTGACTCCCGCAGGAGTAACGATCATACATAATTAGGGTTAATTATGACATTCATTAATTACGATGACTTCTCTTTTTGCTTCCACCCACCCTGTCCTGCTCCCGGGGTGGGGGGTGGGGCTGCCTGTCCTTCTGCTCCGGAGCCGCAGCAACAGTCCCCCGGTCCCCGCCCGCGATGGCCAGCGCTGCCGCGGCCCCCAGCGTGCACTCGGGACTGCGCACCCCCGGGCCGCGGCCTCACGTCCCCGAGCCTAACCTGGCTGGGAGGGGGGAATGCAGGACTGCGGCGGGTCCGAGAGCGACATCCAGAGACCCAGAGATAAACATATACAGACGCCGAAGGAAAGCGGGAGAGACACGAAGACAAGCAGGTTGTAGAGACATTTTCGGAGAGACACAGGCAGAGAGGGACAGACCGAGCCACAGACAGAGACCTGGCGGGCGCGGGAGGGGTGCGCCTCGCACGCACACACCGGCGCGTACACCCGCCACACACTCCCTCCGCCTTCGCTGCGCCGATTCCCTCCAACAAAGCCGAGTTACAACCTCCCCGGAGGGTCGCGGCCGCGCGGCCGCTCATCACGCGCGCAAGGGCGTGTCGTGCTTGTGTGATGGGGGCTCCCTGTGGCCCCTCGTCGCGAACCCACTCGCCCCGGTCGCCGCGCAGAGCCTTCGGGGATCACCCGGGTCCCGCTGCCGTGACTCCGCGGCACCCGAGCCCACAGCGGTGACCGCGTCGGGGAGAGGGCACCCGGGTTGGGGACGCACCGGGCAGGGGTCCAGGCCTCTCGCCTCTTGAGTTACCTTGGTTTCCTGGAGGGCAGAGACGGTCCCCGGGGGGGTGTGGGTGGCCGCGTCATCCGGTTCGTTCTCCTTCTCGCTCATTTCGGTCATGGTTGGGGGAGAGCGGAAGAGAGGGTGCCAAGACCCGACGGCAGGCCCGCTGGGGGCAGGTTGCAGGTGGCAGACGTCTCTCTGGAACCCTGAGGCCCTTCTCCAGAGACTGCCCCCCAGTGAACCCCAGGAAAAATCCGCCCAGGCAAAGCGACCCCCCACGGCCGGGAGCGGGCGGAGAAAGTTTCCGGGTTGGCCAGTGAAGAGGGGTAATTACACGGAGCCGCGGGAGCCGGACGACCCCGGGAATGAGGACCGAGGGTCTGCAGAGGATGCTGCTCGGAGCGAGGGGAGGAGGGAAGTGGGGACGCGGGGATGAGCTGAGGGAGGGAGCAACGGAACAGTCCGTGTCCGGCCGGCTCCGCCGTCCTCTGCGCCCGCCCCCCCATCCCTTTCCCCCTCCCCGCGCCGGCCCCAGCCCGGCACCCGGGGGCCCCTCCGCCCAGTCCTCGCCTTCCAACTTTGATTTAGGAGGTCGCCTGGTCCCTCCCCCTTCCCTCCGCGGCTCCCCCGCGCCGCTATGCAAATCAGCTTCTCAGCTATTGGCTGCCGCGGTGGCCAGGAGCGCGAGCTGGGCGGAGCCAGGGGGGGGCTCGATAAGATGGAGAGGAGCCTGAAGGGTAAAGATGTGGGGAGGGGGTAGTTTTACACCGAAAGACCCGGAAGGGGGTTCGTGACAAAGTCGTGGAAGACTTGGGAGACCATATTAGAGTCTGGATGGGCTTGAGGGGAACAGAAAAAGGTTGGATCTGCAGAAGGATAGCTGAGAGTGACATCCAAGTTAGGACTTTCTGATGGCGAAGTAGTGGAAGAATGTGGACCCTTCTGCACCATTAACTGGACGTCTCTGCCCTGGAGACTCCAAATATACACATCCCTGGACCATGAGGAGATGTCCTCATAGTGCTCAAGCAGAGGACTCTGCTCCTCAAGCAGAGAAGGGACAACTTAACATCATGTGTCAAAGGCCAGGCCTGACAATCCATCCTTTGTGGATGCAAAGCAGGACTCCTTTCCAGTCTTGGCCTTTGGAATTCAGCAGAGAAGGGGCCTCAGTCCCCACACCTAAGGTCCCCAAACCTCTCCAAGACACATTCCCCTTCTAGATAGAGATCCTACCACAAATGGAGTTAGATCAGGGGGTAGGGAGAGGTAGGGGGAAGATGGTTCTTACTCTCCAAGTTGTCCGCTGTCCACTTGGCCTGAAGGTACTTCTTCATGCAGGTTGCTTACCTGCCATTTCCCCAGGTCCTCCTCCCTCACCTCCAGCCCTCTCTCTTCCTGCTCCTTTTGGCCCTGACCAAAAGGTCTAGCTTTATCTCCTGGCCTGTCCAAAGAAAGGGAGGTAGGTTGGGGGTTGAAGGAATCCTTCCCTGGGTGTGGGTGGAGAAACTTCTGGATCAAAGTCTCCCTCCTCCAGGGGCTCCTCTGCTGTGGGTGATGAGATTGGGGGCGGGAAGGATGTCACTCGGGGGGGGGGGGAGGTGGCACTCAAGAGGGTTCTGCCTTTATGCCAGCCCTGAGGAACAGAGGCCGAACCCTGTGTTCTCCCTCCTGCCCACCCCTGCACATAGCCATACATGCAATCTCTGTCCTCCCAAGAGTGAGCTCACCATTGGAGCACTGCTCAGGTTACTATGTGCAGGAATAGAGATTTGTTTGTCAGTGGCGGAAACAGGACAAGGGCAGAAGTGAGGGTTTGTGGTTGTGGGGGCTTAGTCCCTTCCCCCTCCAGAACCACCCACATCAGCTGCAGACTGACTCTGAGTGCTAGCTTTCCTGAAAGGAGCTTCAAAGGATCCTGGCCTCAGCCCTCAGACCAGTCTCCCCAAAGGCCCATTCATTAGCCAGCCTTCTGCCAGTGCCCTCTGAGGTGAGGGCTGCCGTCTTCCCTCTGGCTCAGCCCAGATTAGCCCAACATCCCTCCCTGGGCACTCAGACTTAGGTGCTTGAAGCACCCTGAGATAGGGTCATCAGGCCCTCCATCTAGCCTGGGCTGGAGCAAACAGGGGGCTCTTCTGTGTTGGAGACCTCCCGACAGGAGGTACCCCCATTGCCCCCCAAAGAGCAGAGATCCTGAGTTTCTTAAACTCTTAATACCTATATAGTCATGAATTAATTGTGTGGCCTCAGGCAGGTAGCTAAACCTTTTAGAGCCTTGATTTCTTCATCAGCAACACAGAGGCAGTGCCTACCTCACTGTGAGGAGAACGGCTGAGGTAGCTCCCCTTAGCCCAGGGAAGACTGCAGGGAAAGTTGTTTTCTTCTTTCCCTCCTTCTGAGAGACTGGTCCTTTCCCAGTGCTTTCCCTGGGGCAGAGAGAAGAACCAGCTTCCTCCTCTCACTTTCCTGTTAATTCACTAGGGAACCAGCTCCAAAGGAGATTCTGGGAGGGAAGAAGTCCCAGGGGGAAGCAGTGCTCCAGGTGACCCAGGAAAGCCAGGGAAGTTGGTGGGCTCTGGGCCCATCTGGTCTAGGCATCAGAAGCCCAAGGTGGGGCCAATGCGGAGGAGGCAGGGGGCTGGATCCCATGACCTCTGGATGTCCTTTCTGGCCTGCAGCCTTCATGCTTCAGAGCAGTCTTTCATGAACTAAGCCTGAGTCATTGCCTCCGTGCTTTCAACCCCCCCCTGGAGTGACTGGGGACAGGGCAGGAGTAGCTAGCTCCTGGAGAAGGAACATTATGCCATCTCAGAGTCAGATGGCAGATATGAGGGGTGGGCTGAGCCAGGGGCCAGGTGCTATAGGAGGGTAAGTAGCAGTCACACCCAGAAGGGCTCCCTAGACCTCAAGTCATAACGGAACTACGTGGTGCCTCTTTTTTTTTTTTTTTAAAGATTTTATTTATTTATTTGACAGAGAGAGACACAGCGAAAGAGGGAATACAAGCAGGGGGAATGGGAGAGGGAGAAGCAGGCTTCCCGCGGAGCAGGGAGCCCGATGCGGGGCTCGATCCCAGGACGCTGGGATCATGACCTGAGCTGAAGGCAGACGCTTAACGACTGAGCCACCCAGGCGCCCCTCTACGTGGTGCCTCTTAATAAGGCAGCCGAATGAGTGAAAGTGGGTGCTAGGCCTGGGGACAGAGGGATGGACCAGATGACTCCAAATCTGTGCACAGCACAATGTCCAGCACATGAAGAAAGACTGGTTCTCATCCCGGTCTGCCCTTTTCTTCCTTTTCTTGGGCAGAGACCTATCCATCTCTGGAGGGACTTTGGTTTCCTTCTTTTTAGATTGGCAGAATTGGAGTAGATTAGGTTGACATAGGGAATCAGATTAGAATGGGGGCAATAATTGTATATCTCTTAGTGTTCTTTTGAGGATTAAATGAGTTAACATATGTAAAGAGCTGGACAGAATGAGGGCACAATAAATATTTTTTACCTATCTATCTACCTGTCTATTTATTTATTTAGGGATACTTAACCTTGAGCTTGCAGGCGAGCTTCAAGGAGTTCATGAATCCCTTGAAGCTGTAGAAAATGTTGGAGGATAAGCATTTTCTGGGGGAGAGTCTAGAGCTTTCACCTTCTTCTCAGAGAATCTAAGATCCCCCAAAGATTAAGAACTACTGGCCTGAATGATCCCCAGGACCCCTCTACTCTGAGCGGTTGATTCTCTGATGGGAGGGATTGCTTCTCCTTCCGTAAGGACTGACCCCTTTTCTCCCTTGAACAACACCTTCAGCTCAAGCCCCTCCCTGCCGTGGCCTCTGCGCCCCTGAGTTGCCAAGGACAGCCCAAGCTGAAAAGGTGAGTGGCTGGTTTTTTCTCCAGCTTTAGAATTGGAGCTCCTAGGGTGGGGAGTCTGTCATGGTTGAGGTCAAGGCTGGTTCTCATCTCCCAGCTGGGGAAAGGAAGAGGGCCCAGGCTCCGTGGGGCAGGGGGCACAGGGAACACAGTGACAGGCCTGGCCTTGCCCAGGCTCCCCTCCCTCCCCCTGCCAGCCCACCGGGGTCCCAGAAGCAGATACCGCTCCAATGAGCTAAGGCCCAGGCGGGCATCGGTAATTATGATTTTATGAAAATATAGAAGGCTCTTATGCAAGTCCCTGACACACTTCCTGGCTGTGGCATCTGGGACAGCCAGGTCCCCAGGGGCTGGAGGAGAGCCCTTCCACCACCCCCTGCTGCCACCAACCCCTGGAGCTCAGGACACTGGCAGAGATCCGCCCTCCCACTGCCGGTAGCACTGTCCCTAACACACTCTGGGTGAGCCGCTCCCTCTCTCTGTGGCCCAGGCTCCCTGGAGGGGACAACATGGGCTCCAGGATATGCATTCCCTCCTCCCCTCCGCAGCCAAGCCCAGGCTGTCCCGGAGACCTGTCCTCATGGGAGGGGGATGGTGGCTTTGGGATTACCTCCCTCTCCTCCATGAAGAAAACCTCTCCTTCCTGAAAGATGTCCCCTTCTCTTCTGTTTCTTTCCTCCTGGGGGCTGGGGCCATAGGGCTGACAGCAGCCATGGGGCTGCACCCTCCCCAGGCCCTGTGCCGGTTTGCCGCCCGCCACCTCCCTGGCCTCGGATGGTGTCCTACCCACCCACAGAGCATCTGTTACCAAGGTAACAGCAATGTCATCAGTTTGGGGCGAGCAAGGAGGTGGAGCCAGTGGACTGGTGGAGGGGGTGCTGTTAGGGGTTAGAATTTTGGAGAGATGAACACTGAAGGGCCCCCCAACTCTTAAGGAAGATCTTTTGCTGCAGAGCGGCCTGGGCACAGACTGGGGCGGAATGTTGCCGAGAGCCCATGGGAAAGAGGGCGGATGAAGTCCGGAAGCAGCTGGATCCAGGTGTTAGAGGTGAGGGTGACTCGGCCTTACTATGCTGGAGGAGCGTCATGGTGGCGATGCCAAGGAGAAGTTGAGGCAGTGACAATGGAGCCTGCCTTTAACTCCTCCCTCAGGGTCCAGCTTGTTAACTTGTCCTAGGGAGAGGCATTCGGCTGGGAGAGTCTGGACCCAGCTGAGGCAGTGTGGGGGGACCTCAGGCCAGCCTGGGCCCACACCGCCCCCTGCAGACTGTACAATCTGCACTGGATGTCCTTCCTGGAGGGGCGTCTAGGTGGCGTCTTTGAAGGTCTACATCTGACACATCTAAATCATGAGGTCCTACTAAGTGCCTCGAGCATCTCTGGGCACCAAGGGCGCCTGAGCCTTGCACTCAAGGCCTTCTTGTAAATCCTGACCCAGAGAGCACAATAATGCAAAGGGTTTCTCTGAGCCGACTTGGGGTACAGAGCAGGGGAGGCAGATGCTGCAAGCTGGGTTGATGGAGGCCATCGAGTAGACCGGAAGGCAGAGGCCGGAGTATTCCAAGCAGAGGAAACAGCCTGGGCAAAGGCAGAGAGGTGAGGGACAGAACGGCGGGCTGTGGAGGCTGCGGGTGAGCAAGGGGGAGGAGGAGTGGCGGGAAGGAAAGGCAGGTGGGGGCGGGGCTAAC